TAGTTTGGCACCTCCCTATATATATAATACACTACTTGTGGCGAATATTGACAAAAACTGTGTCTGATCCTTGGGGACTTATTGGTAGAAATTACTTGAGAGTGATGGGTTCGACACGTTTGTTTAAAAAAAAAAAAGAGCTGCATTCTTGACGGTCTCCACCTACCTTGCCCTACGTTGGGCCTTGGTGAAGGAGATAAATTGCAGGTTATGCCTCCAAGAGTACAAGGTGGAAGGCTGCTTGTACACATGCACTTACCTAAGTGTCAAATTCATATTTTAGAATTCGAACCCTTGACGCGACAGCCTTAAACGAAACTGAAGTTTCTCCACCTTCCCCTTTTATCACTCGGAGATGTGCCTTGAGGGCTCGACGCTTTTGTTATATTGGCTGGACGGTGTGGAATAGGTATAAGATGTCTATTAACACTTACTATTCTTTCGAGTAATCTTCGTGCATGTACTTTTGGTAAGGTAGGTTATCGCTATTGACAATAGCTAAGAAGGAGAGAAACTAAGATCTTACCAATGATGTCTTTTCAATTTGGTTGGACAACAAATTTATTTAACATGGGATTCTACAGTTTGAAAATTTAATGAGAAGGTCAGAATCTAACAGAAACTAGAACAAACTGCCAAAACTCAATTATATCTTTTAAATAATTAGGGTGACACTAAAGTCTAAACCGCCATGAACAGGCCTTCCTATTAAAATTTTATTTCTGTAAAACATGCCAGCTGTCTCTTACGATAATACAAATTAAGTCTTATTTCTAATAAAGTCGGGATCAATTCTTTCGTCACCCTATTTTGTTAATGTCTCGCCAATGCCAGTTGATGGAGATCGGTGGTCTGAATACATACATATATATATCTCAATGAAGGTACATGAATGCTGCTCGATAAATAACTTAGATACAGGGTCATATAATATATATATATATATTTTGCAAATTAAAGAAGTAATGATAAGGTCAAGACATGAATAGATTCTATGAATTTGGCAATTTTTTTTTTTATCAGAAAAGAGTTGGTACAAAATAATTTGTCAACTTCAGTGCATGTCTGAGTTTGAGCCTGCTAAAGTTTGTACAGATTACATAATGCAGTGTATGTAAATTCCAATTATGCTACATGTGTATCATCGTTAACAATAAATTTGACAGTTTTTCATGTGACGGCAACTTACATCATTGCTTTTAAATACATGGATTCCATCACCGTCCAGATTCCTTCCATTTGGGAGGATGTTGGATCCTTGGTGTTCATGTAAATTTAGACAACCTGCTGAAGCAAGAAAATGTCGTCCCTTTAGGATGAAATTAGATTCATTTAGGATTTCTGTTTGAGAATAGATTATAATCGATTTAAAATATAAATATCTAAAAATGAGTCATACATAAATCAGTAAGTCATGCTTGATTTACACTCTTTGGTGTACATCATGCATGATAAAAAATAATTTATGCAATGGGTCACACACCCCATGTGAGATGGGTGTAGTCCCTTATGTACAAATTGTGATGTACAAGTAGCATTTTTGTTTAAAAAATCATGAGCCCCACACACTTTTGTGAGAGGAGTGTTAAAGTTAATGTACACAAAAGTGTACAAATGATTTTTTCCTAAATCAGTACTAATGAATCTCACAAAATATTTATAAATAAAAGTAGATTTGACATTTTATATTTGTAAATGCGCCAAACAAGGGCAAGGAAACTTAGCTCCCGTTTGGCGCACATTTTAAAGGTAAGAATGCATTTTTACTGTTGATGTGATGGAGAATATGTGGTTGAAAAAGAGGAAAAATTATTGATGTAATGTAAAATATTATTTTATTGAAAAACTTGTGTTTGAAAATAAGTAGAAGAATGTGAATGAAAAAAAATGCGGACCAAACAGGGTCTTAGCCCGATTTGATAGATTCTTTTTTTTTTTTTTTTTTGGGAAAAAAATGTGTTTTTAATACTAATTGGGAGGATAGATGTGTGGTTAAAAAATAAAGAATTTTTATTTTATTTACGTGAAGAATATTTTATTGTGAGAATGTGTATGAAATATAATAATTGCCAAACAAGGGCCTAAGAAACCAAACATCCTATATTTTAATGAAAAAAAGTTGGAATAAAATTAATTGTTTTTACAAACTAAACCAAACAGTGACTAAATATTTTCGCCTATCAAGCCATATCGTGATAAGAAGCCTAATAAAATAAATTAAGAGGTTTTAACATTAACACACGCCAACAAATCCGAGAAGACAGTTTTGCTGAATATTTTTTCATTCATTTTTATCAGGTTATCCAAAGCATAAGCTTAAGTAATTATAGAAAAATAATCCCAAGTAGTCGTAATTAATTATTTCCCTAGACAATTTGCTTATATAATGTGATTTTCTAGAAGAGATTCAGACCGGCTTTTCTAGGAACAAGGGGAATGACAACCAGCATACAGAATGTAGATAGTAGGTTTGGATATTAATCTTACATTAATTTCTGCTACATATGAACTCCGATTTTGCTTGTGTCTATCTCTCTCTGCCAAAACTAGGAAAATACATGCATATATGATACATTACAAAGGAAAATGCATGCATATATGATATGTTAAAGTTTCTAGTGCTAATTGCAGCTCTGTGTGTGTGGAAGTTTAAAATATAGAAATTATGTCATGCATATGTTTGACATCTTGCAAAATAAATGTATGTTGGTGAGTTTGATCATCGAAAATATGATATGTTTGCAAAATAATTGTGACCAATTTCATATTTACCCACAAAATTTAGTTTAGGAAATATAAAAATATGAAGAAAATCAACACAAAGATTTTACGAGGAAAACTTCAAAATTGAAGAAAAACAAAAAAAGACCTAGGTTTCACGTCGACACCCATGAATTAGCATTGCAAATTAATTATTTGCCTTAAATTTCTCCAAATTTGAGTTAAAGAGATGTATTAGATATTTGGAAACTTAAATCAATTTCCATCCCAATTTCAATCATAATCAACTAAGATTTTAAGTAGAAAACTTTGAGATTAGATAAATATTACGAACGGTCCAAAATAAAGATACTCAATTATATCAATAATTGTTATGATCATTTAGAATTTCTCAACCACCAAAACACACGAGCATCTTAAAGTAAAATTGTAGTTTGATTCCCTAAATTTTAAACCTAAAATTTTCGTTTCAGATCTCTCTACCAAATACAAGAGCGAATGGCGCCAATTTATAAGAGAACATTGATTAATAATTTGAAATTTCATCAAATTTGTAAGTCACATGGATGCATGACTTCAAATAAAAAGATGTCACATAAAGATGATGACTGCAGTCATCGACTATAATGAACATTACTTTCCAACATAATATGATGGTCGGTTCAACATTGATTATCAAAACGACTGTGAATCGGATATAATTTTAACAATGAAACTCAAATATGCTATTTAGAGAGTTAAAAATCTTGCATGTTTCCAAGTTGAGATCATTAACGAATGAAGTTACTGCCAAAAAAGGTGTTAAAATTTTCTTCGGAAGGAATAGATTCAAGTTTTACCCGTATCAAAATTTAAAGGTAAAATCCATTTTGCAATCTAAAAGAGAATCCTCTGGTTTTTACGCCACGGCAGACAAGACACAAGCATATTGTACCAGACAAAACGTATCAAATTTTCCATTTCCCAAAAAATAAGATTACCGATCCCAGAAGGGATGTCCATGCGTGTGAATGATTCAACAGTGGCCTATTGCAGCAAAACCTAGACGATACGATTCTTCTTAAAATGTGATCATTCAATGGAAAACTACGTTGTCTATTACAATTTAAAACATCGTTATTTCAAATATACGATTCCCGCAAATAACTTCTTTAATAAGTGGAAAGACGTCAATGTATCCAATGCATATATTCGTGTAATTCTTTATATTGATTTTGAAAGGCAGGGTAAAGTAGTAGTAGATTTTCTTGAATAGAGTGGGTCTTAAGTTAACCCGATATATGAGATTATAAGAAGAATATTAATTTTTTTGGAAAATGTGTGAATTAATTTTTTTTAGGTTTACGTGTAATATTATTTTACTGTAAAATGTTTGATTTATAAAAAGATAGAAAAAAATGAATTATAATTTAATGAAAAATTATAAGGCTCAAACGGGAGCTAAGCCTATGTTTGGTACCCATTAAAATTTTCATTTTCATTCTTCTACTCATTTTCAACCACACATTCTTCATTAAAATAATATTTTCTATCACATCAATAACTTTTCTTTCTTTTTAAACCACACATTCTTTTTCAATCTACTATTCCAAAATACATTCTTCCAAAATAATATCCATCAAACACACCCTAAGTATTTTTCTACTTGTACAGAATTTCTTGCCCACTTTGTTTACAGATTCAGTGTTGGCATAATGCGATTGGCATGTCAAAAATGTCACGAAATGCCACCTAACTTTCTCCGAAAGTGTATGAATTTTCTGTACACGTGGCAAGCCTCTTAATTTAGGATAATGCTGTTTGAACAGTCTCGATGACAGGAAGTGTTTTCGGGGGCTGAAATGGCAGCCCTTGACTGGCAGTATCTTCTTTTTTGAATTAAACTATTTGTAGAATGAATTTACACAATGTGCGAGGTGTATAAATCATTATCATTGAATTCAAAAATAATTTTTCAAATCAATAGACATAATGTCTGTCAACTCACACATTGCCAAATTTATTGTCAAATTTATTGTACAAGTAGCATGATTCTTGTCATTGAAAGGTTGTGAACCTCATTTGTACTAATAGCATTTTCCCTCTTTTTTTTAACTGCCAATAAAAAATGTGATAAGTATACACGTGCCAGCAACTCATAATAATCTTGAGTATTCCTTCGTCAAAATATTCGTCCACTGTCAACTCACACACTACTCTCTCTCTCTCTCTCTCTCTCTCTCTCCCCCCGAGTCCGAGTCAGTATGCGTGAGATAAATCGAAATCAATAGCCACAGCAAATGCATGAACCAAAACCCCTTCCCAACCCTATATATACCCTACCCCCAATTCCCATCTTCCTCAGTCTCCCCAAAGCGACACCCAGAGCTCAAGAAAAGTCCGCGAAATCAATTTCAAAAATGCCTTCGCAATCTTTAACTCAGTTGTCCAAATGCACAATTTTCCCCGATCAAATTTCCACCATGGATGACCTCAAACTCTCAGTTTCAGACCTCCCTATGCTCTCATGCCATTACATTCAGAAAGGGTGTTTATTTACACGCCCATCATTTCCCTTCATTGAACTTGTTTCAGTCCTCAAGCGCAGCCTCTCGCAGACGCTAACTCACTTTCCGCCGCTCGCCGGCCGACTCACCACAGACGAAAAGGGATACGTTTACATCACCTGCAACGATGCCGGCATTGAATTCATTCAAGCCAGCGCGTCACATATTTATATCAGGGACATTCTTAAGCCCACTGATGTCCCAGAAGTAGTGAAAACACTCTTTGCTTTTGATCAGACAGTTAGCTATGAAGGACATTTTATGCCCATTCTTGCCGTTCAGACGACTGAATTGGCTGACGGAGTCTTCATTGGCTGCACCGTAAATCATGCCGTTATGGATGGGACGTCGTTTTGGCATTTCTTTAATAGTTTTGCTGAAGTAAGTAGGGGCATGAAGAGAATTTTCAGGGCGCCGGACTTTCGCCGGGAATCAATTCTGATTTCTCAGGCTGTGCTGAAAATCCCCGTCGGCGGACCAAAGGTCACTTTCTCCCTCGATGCTCCGTTGAGAGAGAGAATTTTCAGTTTCAGTAGAGAATCAATTCTGAAGCTGAAAGCCAAAACCAATAATCAGATATGGGAACTTGACGGCGAGATCGACGTCATTGAATTAATAGGGAAGCTGAGCAACGAAACATTCAAACTCCCCAACGAAAATCTAACCCCGTTAACTTGGCTAAAAAGTGTTGTCTCAAAAGAGAGAAGAAATGCAAATCCAACGCCTGAGATTTCATCGTTTCAATCATTATGTGCTTTATTATGGCGTGGAATTACACGAGCAAGAAAATTACCACCTTCTAAAACTACGACGTTCCGCATGGCTGTGAATTGCCGCCACCGTCTTGAGCCGAAGCTGGACCCGTTATACTTCGGAAACGCTATACAGAGCATTCCGACTCTCGCATCAGCCGGCGACGTGTTGTCAAAGAATTTGCGCTGGTGCGCCAAGCAATTAAATAAGAACGTGTTGGCGCACGATAAGGATACAGTGAGGAAGTATGTAGAGGATTGGGAGCGAGACCCACGGTGTTTCCCTTTGGGCAATTTCGATGGAGGGATGATCACAATGGGAAGTTCTCCTAGATTTCCAATGTACGAGAATGATTTCGGGTGGGGTAGACCCGTAGCTGTTCGAAGCGGGAAAGCTAATAAATTTGACGGGAAGATTTCAGCATTCCCTGGTCGTGAAGGTGGTGGGAACGTGGATTTAGAAGTGATTTTGGCATCGGAGACTATGGCAGGTCTAGAGTCTGACCCGGAGTTCATGCAATATGTCACGGGTTATTAAGAGTTTTCCTCCTTGTACCGGGGGGGTGTACAACCCCCCCTACCGGTAGGGGGGGTTGTACACCCCCCCGGTACAAGGAGGAAAACTCTTAATAACCCGTGACATATTGCATGAACTCCGGGTCAGACTCTAGACCTGCCATAGTCTCCGATGCCAAAATCACTTCTAAATCCACGTTCCCACCACCTTCACGACCAGGGAATGCTGAAATCTTCCCGTCAAATTTATTAGCTTTCCCGCTTCGAACAGCTACGGGTCTACCCCACCCGAAATCATTCTCGTACATTGGAAATCTAGGAGAACTTCCCATTGTGATCATCCCTCCATCGAAATTGCCCAAAGGGAAACACCGTGGGTCTCGCTCCCAATCCTCTACATACTTCCTCACTGTATCCTTATCGTGCGCCAACACGTTCTTATTTAATTGCTTGGCGCACCAGCGCAAATTCTTTGACAACACGTCGCCGGCTGATGCGAGAGTCGGAATGCTCTGTATAGCGTTTCCGAAGTATAACGGGTCCAGCTTCGGCTCAAGACGGTGGCGGCAATTCACAGCCATGCGGAACGTCGTAGTTTTAGAAGGTGGTAATTTTCTTGCTCGTGTAATTCCGCGCCATAATAAAGCACATAATGATTGAAACGATGAAATCTCAGGCGTTGGATTTGCATTTCTTCTCTCTTTTGAGACAACACTTTTTAGCCAAGTTAACGGGGTTAGATTTTCGTTGGGGAGTTTGAATGTTTCGTTGCTCAGCTTCCCTATTAATTCAATGACGTCGATCTCGCCGTCAAGTTCCCATATCTGATTATTGGTTTTGGCTTTCAGCTTCAGAATTGATTCTCTACTGAAACTGAAAATTCTCTCTCTCAACGGAGCATCGAGGGAGAAAGTGACCTTTGGTCCGCCG